CAGCATGATAATATATTAAGTAATCCAAAGTATTCAGAATACGTTACTCTCATTGAGTAACGTAACGGAATACGTTACAGAATACATTTTGGGGAATGTAATCTGTAATCTGTAATGGAATACATTTTAAAAGTAACCTTCCCAACACTGACAATGTAAGGAGATACTGGGAGGCTACCGAGAGAAGGATAAAAGAGAAGAAGAGGTTAAAAAAGGTAGAAGAAGAGGAGAGAAATTAAGGACGGGCTTTTGAAGGCCAACGGGAGCGAGGATTGAAGAAAAGGCCACATTTCTGGGTCAGCTGTTGAGGTGAGGACAACAGAGCAAACCCGGGGTGACATTTAACTGTCAGAGCACAGCGACCACATGCTCTGATGGAAAGGAGGAAGAGGAGTTGGGATGGAGGGAGAAGATGACAAGAATGGGGGTGGGGTAGCGGATTAGGTGGGGAGGACAAGTTGACAATGAGTGACGACCGGAGGACCAGAGAGGCTGACAGAGGGAGAAGCTGAAGGAGAAAGAAGACGAGGGAAGTGACAGTACAGAAAGAGGAAGAGGGCTGAACACGCCCGACAGGCTGAGGGCACAGGAAGCTGACAGTTAAGGGGAAAAAGATGAGGACAGTTTGACAGTGAGACTTATATGTGAAGCTAAAAAACAGGCTAGTTGCTAAGGCGGATCATAGCCGTGATTAAAGAGCAAACATGTGGAGAAAAGCTGTGAGGAGAAACAAGAAACTAACCGATGACTGCGTACCCTCCAGGGATGATGCGGTAAAGGATGCCATCAAACACGATCCCATGAGGAAACAGAGTGGCCATGATCTCCCCCACCAGCCTGCCAAATGCAGCTCCTGTAGGACGAAAGTGGGGCTAAAAGTAAATATAGTTTAAAAATAAAATGCATTAATTATCATCACGTCACTGACGAAGCGTGTGAATCGTTAACTTTTAATCTGAACTTTACTGTTTACAGAGTCAGCGTTTATAGTGACAACCAACGAGGATGACGACTTAAACCAACGCAAAGCTTCAAAACGCTCACCTAGGATGAAGACCGGCATGAAAGCTCCGGATGGGATGGGCATGGTGGTGGCCACAGCGGACATCCAGAACTGCAGGAGAGACGACATGAAACCCTTTTTAGTCAAAAACTCAGAGCTGATGATTGCAACCAATAGAAACCAGATGAGACTTAACTTTCTTACAGTTCAGCCTCTTATCGGTGTCTCCACCTCCACCTGTGGAGAAATACTGGCTTGTGAACCACGTTTAAGTCACGTTAGGGTACTCTGCTTTCACACTGGAAACTCACATATCTGCCTACAACAGTATACTGGGTTCATGAAATGAGTGTGTGCCTGACATTTGGACAATAAAGCCTCCAAGGACATAATAAGTTAGTGATAAGAATCTGAACTGTGGTATTGGGCTGAAGTTTGATTTGGAGCAGAAAACAACACTGGCAATGAATAGCTATTTAATTTTTAGCACATATGATGCTATGGTGGCCTGAATTCTGGGGAGGTTGTATTAACACAACTTAATAATGTGCTTTAACCCAAATGACACCAACACAAAGTGCCAAAAACTGAAATTCCTCCACCTAGCCACTGATGCTAGGTTCAGGATCGAGTCGATCTAGAATACACTTTCATGTTAAAATACCTAAAATTACAAACTTTTCAGAGAAATAAATATTTACAGCCACAGTTGTGACCTCTATAGCCAATCTCCTTTATAACTACTGTAGGGGGGCATATGGTGTAGGTGTGAAGGGTAGACAGGAAGGAGGGGAGAGAGAGCAGGGGAGGTCACGCAGGAGGGGCAACGGGTGAGACTTGAACTGCTGCATTTCAGCTTTGTGGCCACCTGCTCGACCAGTGAAGTAAACTGGTTCCTTGTAGGGCAGGGGTGTCAAACTCAAATACACAGTGGGCCAAAATTCAAAACTGGAACAAAGTCGCGG